TGAAGTATAGCTCTGGCCATTTCTTGAAGCTCACTATTTTTCCTCTCAACTACACCATTCTGTTGTAGGGTGATCGGCGAGAAGAACTTATGCGGATCCCCTCCTCCAAACAAAAGTTCTCTAGGTTCGAGTTTTCAAACTCTTTGCTATGATCACTGTGAATTCTGGAAACTGAATAGCCATTTTCATTCCTCAGTCTCTTATACAACGAGATGACAAGACTGACCACTTCAATTTTATCTCTCAACAACTCAATCCACGTGAATCGAGAAAAATCATCCACCACAACCAAAATATACATTTTACCACCAAGACTTTCGGTCCTCGATGATCCCATAAGATCCATGTAGTATTTCAAGAGACTTGCTCGTCAGGATCTTAGAAGTTTGTTTGTGAGGAACCCTAAGTTGTTTACCTTGTTCACACGGACCACAAATAGGGGTATCAATATAATCCAGCTTAGGTGGGCCATTAACAATCTCTTTCTTAGCCAATTTTGACAAAATTGTATGATTCATATGACCCAGTTGTTGATGCCATAATTCAGTGACATCAACATTAGCACTACTACAGAGATATTAAGGGTTAGGTAAGACTCCTTAACAATTTTCCGTCAAGGACAATGTTACCCATTGAGTCATACAGAGAACACCTTTTTTGAACAAATGTCACCTCAAAATCAGCATCACAAATTTGACTGATGCTCAGCAAGTTGGACTTTAAACCTTTCACATACAACACATCAGAGATTGCAGGTAGTCCGCTATACTCACAACACATTTACCAAGAATCGGTGCAGTAGCTCCATCACCAAAGATAACTACACTGCCATTCCACTCATCAAGGGATGAAAATAGGGCTTTGTCACCACACATGTGTCTTGAGCAAGTACTGTCAAGATATCACATAGAATTGTTCTGAGCTTTAAGGGCAAGGTAAACCACAGAAAATTCAACTAATCTCCAGATCGTTTACTCTCAACCTTCATTTCCCTCATGTCAATCTCACAATCAGATTTAGTTTCAGCAGTCGAGGTGAATGCCACATACTCTTGGTCATCCTCACCGCCAAATGTCTCATCAAGGGAACTGGAATCCGACTCCTCATCATCCTTGGTCACAGCTAAAACATTACGCCTTTCTCTACCTGAACTCTTCTTTAAATTGCAACATTCACTCCTAATGTAATCAAATCCCTTGCATTCATGGCATTGGACAGACCCAAATTTCCTAGCGGAAGTCCTAGAGTTGTTCTTCTCACATCTGTCTCTTAAGAGTTGATTAGGGATAACATTATTCCATTCCTGAGACCTTTTCCTATTCCTCATCACCTTCTGAAATTTTTTAATAAAATATACAATTTCATCGTCCCTAAGAGTCTCAGTGTCAGTCGACTCACTCTCATCTTCCCTAAGAATGTTCATGGTGATGGATTTCAATTTTTTAGGTTGTGCTAAAGTCAATTCATAGGTTTGGAGGGATCCTACAAGTTCTTCTATTTTAAAGGCGTCAATCCTTACTCTCTTCAATTGCAGTTACCTTATGTCTAAACCTCTCAGGTAGAGATCTAAAAACGTTACGAACGATTTTAGTCTCAGTGATCCGTTCACCTAAATTGAAACTAGAATTCACAATATTGTTCAATTTTGCATAGAACTCATCAAATCTCTCATTATCATTCATCTTAAATTCTTCAAACCTAGAAGTCAACATTCGTAATTTAGAGTTTTTCACATTCTTAGTTCTCTCATGGGTAGTTTCCAAAATATCCCAAACCTCCTTAGCAGTCTTACACATAAAAACTCTCCTAAACTCTTCAGGAGATACTGCCATAAGTAAAACATGTAACGCTTTGTTATTCTAGTTACACTCATCTAAGTTAGTCCCAATCCAACTAGCAATGGGAGTGGGGATAACTACGTTTTCTACAGTAATACTAGGGGCACTCCAACCATTTACTACACTCAGCCATACATGCTCACCCATAGATTTCAAAAAAGCTCTCATTCTAGTAGGTATAATTATTGCGATCAAAATATGGTGGCACATACAACGATCTACTCATCTAGACAATCAAAATAAGGGTCAGGACACCAGATTAGTCTCTGATACTAATTGAGAAACGCAAGATTCGACCCTACTACACCTAGAAGGGGGGTGATTAGATGTAAATACGGAATTAAAATTTAATTAACATGCAACAAGTCACAAGTTAATTATGTCTAGGTGATTAGTCAAACAATTCAATTTAACCTATCTTGCAATACCGTAGTGATTCCAAAGCAGTAACCAACACCAGAATAGTTCGCGGAGAAACCCAATGTGAGAAAAATTCCA